AATTGAGCGACACCTTCTTGCAAGTGGATCATCTCATCGTCAGCCATGCCAGAATCTTAGGCACTGATACCAAAAGACACGAGCTAAATGGAGCACAGACGAGAAATTAGCTTCTGCAATATGCAAGGAGCAAGTGAGAGGGAAAGAGTAGAGAAAGTAGAGGAAGAAAGAGAGAGAAGAAGAGAGAATAAGAAGAAATCTATTGATTCAATTCCATGACCAGAATTGTATTCAACAACCGTATATGCATTACAATCATTGTGAACTCCCTTAAATCTCTCTAGCAAAACATGACTCAGCAATAAACAAAACTAATCCAGAAATTAATAGATACTTACACTAATTCTAACCTTAAATATCATTATCAGACTTTTTAAACTAATTATTATTAATTGGACTAGGCCACGCAGCTAACTTCAATGGTCCACTGAGTCCAACTCCTTCCAGCTTGCAATTTCTGACTCGTAACAGAGGTGATGCTGGCTGTGGAGAAGCGAGTGCCCGCGAAAAAGTCTGAACAGTATCAACAGCTATATCCTTTATATTATTAATGTAAACCTGTTCTTGATCATTCTCTCGCCTTGACGTACTATGAGTGTCATCATAAAATCTCCAGCGATCATCACTGTTCATCACACAAAAAGATTCCAAACGTAGATCTGGATAAGAGTTGCTGCTTCTCACCTTCTGTAATGAGTTATAAGTCTTCCTATCCATTGATGATGATGATGGGTAGTCATAGCATTGACGCGGGGTTGACGGTTTTGATCTTCGGACATCATGATCATGAACATGTTTGGAAGTACTAGAAAACCTGTAATCTTCGTAAGTTCTTCGGGTATTATAATTATAATTGTTATAGGTGATGCTGTTTAAGTGTAAGCAACCACAGACGACGGTGAAAAGTACGAAGACTAGACTGACGAAGTCCCATGATTTTTTAAAAAGGTCAGGCTGGAATATCTTGGAAGTGAAAGAGAGAAATGAAGGGATGATAATGAAGACAAAAGCAAACGCAATGACCAGTAAGAGGATGATAAGAATACCAGTGTTGAAGAAGAAAGATGAAGCTTGACGACGGCGGCGATGGCGGTTGTCGGTCGTTCGGAGCCAAAAGGGCGTCATGTCTTCATCTTCCTCCATTTATTTGAGAGTTGGGGTTTTGGTATTTGCTTTTGGAAGAGAGCGTGAATAAAGAAACTTTTGGCAACACTTTAGCCTTTAGCCTTGCTTGTGGTGGTGTGATTTTGGTTATGGTTATTGCTTTGTTTTGGTTCTGCTTTGTTTATATAAATGGAAGGGTGCAGTACTTGAAAATATACGTTTATTATATTTTATTTTATGTTGAAAATGGAGAGTTATGAAATGATTTTTATGTAATAATGTGGGTTCGTTATCCTTTTAATTACTTCAACGAATGATAAACAAATATTATACAATGTTAACTCTATCTACGTATGCCTTCGCATGTTGTCGGATATTTGACAATTTAAAATATGAAATGAATATAATATAAATATAAAATATAAAAATAATATGATTTAAAATTTTAATAATTATTATATTTATATTTAATAAAATTAAAAATATATATTTTATATTTTTATATAAAATTTAATATAAATATATAAAATTTAATATTTTTATTTAACATAAATACATGAATAATTAAATTTACTGTCGGTCCTTGCAACTATGACAACGAAAAGAAAAAAAACTATATGTGTGTTGATACATTCCTCAATTGAAATTTAGTCAATCACTCCTGTAATATTGAAAATAAAAAAATGTTAGCCACCCTTATCGACTTAAAAAGAAAAAACATTTTACTATGATTTATATATTTGAGGTGTAGAAAACTTCATGTAAAATAAGTCAATTGATCATCTTTTAATAATTTCTACATAGTATAAAAAGTTGGCCACCCACTCTTTAACTCTTAAACAATTTATACATTAATCATCGTTATTCTTTAACAAAATATTAATATACCAATCCTAATTATATTTCAATTTCACATGTTCTTTTTAGTTGGGACATGAAACCCAATTCATGTTACATTTAGACTTGTCCCCAATATCATGGCCCAAAATTGCTACTCCTACATAATCTATTTTTTAATGAAAAAAAGAGAGTTGTATACAAATACACTCTATAAATTCCAAGGGGCATTAAGTTATAAATTTGTCACGTTTTAATTTAATAGTAGAATTATAAAAATGCAAAATAATAGAAACATATATGACAAAGTCATAGCATCCGCAAATAACGACTAAGAAAAATAATTATTAAAAGATTTATATTTAATAAATTATTAATATATAAATTTTATATACTAACAATAAATTAGATAATATCATCCTATTAACGAAACGAATCAAATGATTATCGCTTTATTAATGAGTAAATCTTTTACAAAATATTAATTTTTATATATTTATTTTAAAAACTATAAGACATAATCCGATTTACAAATTGTTTACTTTGCAAATTGGTTGTAAGCAGCACTCTATAGTTGTATTTTATGTTGAGATTTTCTTGGTTTTGTTCTTCTTGAAGAACAATTTGAATTTTTTAGCTAAAGTAGAAATGAAGTCATTGAAATAATATAATAAATTTAAATAAAATTTAATTTAATTGATTCATATAATAATTTTTAATAAATGATATTAATAACTTTGAATTTAAATATTCTCTCTTATAATTTTTTTATCGTGGATGATGATTTTGTTTGTATAAAAAAAATTACTTGTAAGTGTCAATATGATGAGACTTGGGGTATTTTAGCACACAAAAACGTAAATCTGTACACACCATTGACCGCATATCAGGTTATCTACTTCTTCTAGAGACTAATTTGAATTTTCTACGAACATTAATCATGAATAAAAACTTTATTACATTGAGGAAACTAAGCGGATTAAATTCAGCTTGGTTGCTACACCAAAAGGAAACGAAGAAAGCTCGGTAATTGCCAACTTCCTCCATAGCATCTTCCTTAACTTGGGAAGAAAAACTCGGAAAAGTATGAAAAATAAAGTAGTTTCTCCGCGTTTGTCTTTGTCGTATGTTTTATTGATATATATTTTGCTATAACCAAACTAGAGATTCCATGCTCACATGTTCCTTTGTAAAAGTCTTGAGCTTGACTCTTATCGAAAGTACTATCTAATAAAAAAAAAAAAATACCAAGTACTAAAGAGCTATTGTGTCTCGGTGTCTTTTTTTTTTTACAGCACAATTTAGAAATAAAGAAAAAAAAACATGTATTCATATTTATTGGATACTATTTTTAAAAAAAAATTATTATATAAATTAATTAAATTTAAATTTGAAGAAAAAGAGCCATCTAAACTCGATTTTATGTTATGTGAGGATAATATCAAATTTAATTAGAGTTATCCAAAGTATTTCTTTGTTAATGTTTCAAGATTAAAAGGATATATAAACAGATGAGAATTCGCAGATCGAAATGGTTGGGAATCTTGAAATGTTTGATATTGATTGTTAAAAGTAGTTAAAAAAGAAAGCGAAGGTTAAATCAACGGTTAAAAAGAAAAATAAGAAAAAAAAAAAGAAAAAGAAGGTGAAGCAACAGGAAATGGTGAATAGGCAAATGTCAAACAAATCTAGACAAATAAAGCAGTAATTATTGGTGCAAAGAAGCGGAAAAAGTCATTTCCTTGACTGTTAATATACAAAGAGGACAAAGTTTATCAATTATCATTAAATTATAAATTTATATATATATATATATTTTTTTTTTTTTTGTTTTTTTTAGTTACCTATAAACTTATATATATATATTTTAATTACATCATAAAAGTAAAATTTTAATACAAATAAAAAAATAGTTCGAAATCAAATATTTGATATTCTTTCAAACACTTTTAATCATTAGATTAAAAATTTGGTGACAACTTTTATATATATATATATATATATATATATATATATTAAGTTGCTAATAAAGTAGTAGACCAACCTTTTTATTCGAGGTGGGTGGAGATCAGCCCATCACTAATTTAAATATGTTGAGCTAGAGGTAACAACAGCAATGGAAGAGCTGAGGTTTGTTACATTTACGGATTTTTTGAATTCTTTCATACGTGGGTAAGGATAACGCTACCTTCATCATTAAAACCATAGTTAAATTGTTTATCCAAAAGTGAATAGCTCCCTTCTTACTTTAGCATATGTATAAAGCAAAATATTTTAGGTTATCTTACCAGTTCAATACTCTCTTTATTCACGTTCTAAAAAGTTATAAAGCATCAGTGAAATTAAAGTCAATTAATAAATGAATCTGAAGCTTGATTCAAATGATTTACCCTGAATAGATTGATTAAGTTCAATTTCTGCACTTAGCTAATTCAAGTCCAAATTGCATCATTTCTGTAGTTTAAAACTCCAGAGATCCTTCTGCCCCTCTTTTTTTTCTCTGTTGGGGTAGTGGGGTTGTAAGAAAATACAGGCTCGAAATTTCTTTCACTGATTGGCTGGGCAAATGCCACAAGTTGGGGATTATTGGAAATGTGCAAAAGGATCTCCGAGCACTCGAGTTTCCCAGGCCCCTACTACTCTATAATATCTTACCATCAATTACACCATCAGACCCCAGCACATATGGCCAAAAAGAACACCAATAATGAAGAATGAAATGGGAAAACTCGATGGTCATTTTTTTCGAGTATGAAATTTACAGCACTTTCTAAACCAAGAATGCACCTAGAATTCTTTTAAAAACAGGAAATAATCATTCTTCCATTTCCATAAGCCGAAAAACAAGCAATAATTTAAGTTTCTCTGGAATTTCAGTTGTATAAGTCATATATCAGTAATTTCACGGTGCTTGTTACTAGTTCATAAGTTTCCCCTAACATGGATATTACACGGTTCCATTCTTCAAAGTTGCAATATAGATCTTGTGTTATGTACAAGACTAAAGAGGGCTACAATACTAACCATGGAACCTTCAATGGTTCCGAGGTTCTTGTATCTTTTTTTTTTTTTTTCTTTCAGCCCCCATTACAGGTTTAGAAGACTACAGGAAAGAAACAGAATTCTAAATATATACTTGTCCCACCTTCTGTTGGAGGAAAGCACCTTAAGCAGTGGTAAAGAAACAGACTGCGATGGCAAGAACTAGAAGATGAGAACAGCTATTGTGATTATCACAGCGATTGTACATATCAATGCCTGCAAACATAACAATCTGGAACTTAATAACAAAGATAAATGGCACATAAAGAGGATGCATATCTTTCATTAACTTATCACTTCAAGTTCAACTTTTGGCAATTTCTCCAATTACTTTTAGATTTGATTCTTTCATCTGAGTTTTCAGCAATTGACAATAGCAAGGTTCCTATCAGTTTTAGCAGAGTTTCTATCACATACCAGTTAACACAAAAATATCTTCCAAAACACAGTATGGTTATGGGGAACAAAAAAAAAATTATAATTTTGATAATCATTTCTACTAGATTGCATTAAAATGCTTTTTAGATCGGAGTAAAAGAGAACTAGTGGCAGACTATTTGGAACATTGTATGCTACCAAAGCAACCATAAAAATCAAACAAAACATCAATCCCTAGATTAGAACTTACAGCTATTGCAGAGGCAGCAAGTCCAGATCTCTCCCTTGGATCTTTGTGATAGTAGTTTCCAAAGTAGAGAATGGTAGCATAATACCACATAAATGGGAATACAAATCCCAGAAGAAGACTGCAAAAATAGTAGATATACTGATTGAATACAGAAAACAAGATGAATTGAAGGAGGATGACAGAGGGATAGAAGAACTCACGAAAACCATCCTATTCCACAGCCAAAGCAAGGAAGAGGTTTATCATACATTCCCAACTGTGGGTCTTCCGCATCAGTAATAAGTACATATTCACCGTTTCTGTGTTCTGCTGCTTCTGTTGAGTGCTCTGTATTCACCAAAATGCTTACCACATCAATTTAACAATGAAAATGTGTGCTAATACACAAAAACTTTACTCAAAGAAGCTAAATTCGACACATTCATTGGCCTACTGGAGATGTCAGTATCAAACAAGGCAGATATTCACAGTTAAAACTTCAAGTTAGAGTGGAACACGGCTATAAGTTTATATATTTTGAACCTGAACACACATCTCAAATTTCAAGCTTTAACGAAAGCTCCGATATTGGTTAATCATTTGTATGCATGCAATTAATTGGTTGAAAATATTGCATGATCATAATAGAAACTTTGTATGATGCATAACCACAGTTCTAAACTGTTGTAATCTCTAGAAATCATGATCTTAACTATTGTTTGTGCTCCCTTCACAATTGGGCACCAAAAATACTTTAAAGTAAACTGTTTACATCCATGCACTAGAATTCACATTTTGTTGAATTTGACAGTTTGCTAATCCAAGAGCAGCAAATGTATATATGTTTATCTGATAAAGAAAACTCCCAGCAAGAACAATCAGATATCACTAAATCAAACCCATGTAGGCACTTTTACTTAAATGCTCTAGCAGTGATAAGCATAGTATTGTCAAAGAAATAGTTCATGGTTAGTTCAAGGCTTTCCTTTCCTTTAAAACTCATTTGTAACAATTATTGATGCACATAAAAGAAACAAAAATTGAGATTTTTAACCTTCTAATATCAAATTAGATATGCTTCTGATTTAATCACTCAAAGAATAACCAAAAGTTTAACAGCTATAAAGACAACCAAGCACCACTTCAATTGCACAATGGACCGAGACACACTCGCAAGGACATTTCAGTTCTGCTAATTGAATTGGCAGGAAGGACTAAAAAGCTCTTAACACATAGATATACCTCAGATGATTGAATCAAAAAAGATTTTATTCATCCTCAAATTGATTGATCTTCATCTTTCCAAATACAAATAGCAGCCATTATTATAAATGGTCCTAATTGGAAAATACTATAGCTGATTAATCCGTTAATTAACATGCATATCACAAAATACAGAAGAGATAAAATTCCAGAAAGCTTGGTGAACGAGACAATTTCCCAGATAATTGGCTATTTTTGCGCAAAGCACTGAACTATTATATGCAGAAAAAAAAAGAAGGGGGGGGGGGGGAGATGTAGAAGGAATAAGTTTCGTACTCTGATCCATGTATTCGGGATATCTAGCAGTCAATTGATGGCCTCAGCTCCTCTCTCTGCCTTTGAAGGACCTGCTCGGTCGAGAACAAGGGATGAATATACCATATTAGCAGCTATAATATCCATTTGGAAGGCTTCATAAAAAAAGAAATTGTTAATACCCCAATACTGAATACTGATTTCGACCTATGAACAGCTAATACCTGGTTCTACTCCCTCAAAAAGAAGAATATTACAACAACAACAAACTAAGCCTTATATCCCTCAAAAAGAAGAATATTACAAAACCAATATTCAAGAAAAACTCGACCAACCCTTCACCCTTTTAGTTGAAAGAAATAGCACCAAACATAAAGAAGCTCTGTTTTAGAATTGATTTGATTATGCATAAAGAATGTTCAATCAACTAAACTCTCCTTGCTTAAAAGCAAAGAAATGACAGAGGCGGCAATTCTGGTCAAATTAATTTTATTTTGCCAACACTAACCAAAGAAAAGAATCCATGATATCCCCCAAAATAACACCCCAGGAATTCCTATGATTAATAGCAAAGGAGGAAGAAAGGTAGCTGATAATCCCACCAAAAGTCAAACCTTGATTTCTACAAAGACTAATTCCCAAAACCCAAAAAAAACCCATCAACAAACAAGGCAGAAAAACCACTCTAAAAGATCAAATTCACTAATTTAGCAGTAAAAACGTTGTTGTTGTAAGAAGGAGAGGGAAAGAGTGAAACTTGCCTGTCAAAGTGAGAGAGTGAAGGAGAAGAGAAAAAAGCAAAATTTGGCTGAGAAGTGTTATTCTTTGCTTTTTTCTCTGAGTTTTTATTGATTTAGGCGTTACGTTACTGATCTGATGTTCCCCATTAATCAAATCAACTCCACAATCCAAGAGATTAAAGTAATAATGGAATAAATGCCTAAACTTAAAGGCGCTGTTTTTACTGTCATCTCTGTTACTAACTTACCATGTGCTAGTATCAAAGAAATGCGGCAGTTACTATTGCCAGGGAACAAATTGCTACATCCAGCCCAAACACACTTTGTTTACCCCATTTATAATTGCTGCTTCCAGTTGTTACTTCTGAAGCAGCTGATTCCACAGTCGTGCTCCCATGATGATCAAAGCCTACGATTGAGAAGAAGCGTTCCAAAGCCAAGGAAAGCGAACGAATTGGAAAATGGTTTAATAAGTTTCTTCAACCTCAAAATCTTACTAATGTATGTACCCTTCGCAAGGCCTATAGTTTGAGTCGTTATGAATGGGTTTATCATTTTTATATAATTTTAAATTGTAATTATTTAATTAATTATATTATAATAATTATAATTTATAGGTGATATATTTTCTATTAATTATATTTATCATACTATAATTAATTAATTATAATTTAAAATTATATAAAAACTATCAAAATTTTATATGAAATTTAAACTTAAATTTTCATATAAATTTTTATTATAACTAAATAATTATAAAATTATAAGTGAAATTCGCTCATATAAATCTAAAGCCCAACTTAGAGTAAAAACTAACTTTCCGATGCTTTACTTTTCGAGTAAAGATAAAAATTATTTGGCAACCAATTAATAAGAATCAAATGTTTTTATATTCAATTTTAACTATTAATAATTTCTTTTGATGAGTTGTTTATGTATACATTTCATTTCTCTTTTTTTTTTTTAACTATTGATGAGAGTATTTAATGGTCAAATGAGTATATGATTTTTTTTATTAAAAATTGTCAATAAATAATTAAAAATATTTCAAACATTTGAATTGATATATTCAATATCTTTTTAATTTAATCACGTTATTGTTATCTTTCATTAGTTTCTTATCTTTCAATTATAAATATAAACATTTAGATATTATCATTTCAAATTTCATTTTGTTTAAATTTATTATTATTTTCTCATTTTCACCGCCCTTATTTTATATTTGATTTATATAAAGTAAAAAATATTCTCTATATTTACATTTAATCATTTTTTTTTATCTTTTCAAAAATATTTTCAAGTCAGAAATTCGATACAATCAACTATAATATTAAAATTATAATGTAGGACCACGCCATCAGGGTCCACTCCACTAGTGGGCCCTCTTTTTCTCCAGCCTGCTGGTTCTTGACCTTGGGCTCGACTCTTAAAATTGTTGGGCAGCGTTTTCAAGTGGTTTGAAGTTGGGTTTGCCCAAAACATATGTAATTTTTTAAAATTTTTTTCCAAAATTATCTCATCTAAATCAGGGTTTTTAAAATCTCATCAAGCATACTATATTAATAAATATTAAGAATAAATTTAATATAATAAAAAATATATTTATCAATTTCTTAATTTTCATGAAATTTTAAAACTCCATAAATATATAAAAAAAAGAAAATTTTCACCCAATTTAAAAAAAACGAATTTCATATAATTAATTAATTGATTATATTATAATGATAATATATTTATAGTTGATATACTTTTTATCAACTTTAATTTATAATTAATTAATTATAATTTAAATTTTATTAAAATTTTATATAAATTTCACACTTAAACTTTTACATATTTTTATTATAATTGAATAATTATAAAATTATAATAAAAATTATAAATGAGATACACTCGTATAAGTCTTACTTGGAGCAGGAAACTACTTTTCCATGCTTTGCTTTCTAAGATAGAAATTATGTGCAACCAATTGGTTAAATTAATAAGAATTAAATATTTCTATATTTAATTGTTACTATTAATAATTTTTTTATGAGTGATTTATGAATACATTTCACTTTAATTTTTTATTATAATAAAAAAGTATGTAAAAATTCAACATTTATAAGTAAATATAATTTTAAATTATGATTAATTAATTATAATATAATAATTATAAATAATTTACTCGGTTGTAAATTTAATATGAATTTGCATTGAATTTTATATGTATCTTATCTTAAAATTTGAAAAAAGAATTCCATGATACATTGAATGGTTGCTATTAAAAAAAAAAAAACCACTAAACTAATAAGTATAATAACCCCTTCAATACAGTGAGGACCAAGCCATCAAGGTCCACTCCACTAGTAGGCCGCCTATATCTCCAGCCTGCTGGTTCTTTACCTAGGGCTCGACTCTTAAGTTTGTTGGGCAGCGTTTACAACTGGTTGGAAGTTGGGTTTGCCTAAGGCATTGTTTTTTTTTTTTTTTTTCGAAAATTTTCTCATCTAAATCATAGTTCTTAAAATCTCATCGAGCATACTGCTTTAAAAATATAAAAATAAAATTTAATATAATAAAAAATAAATTTATCAATTATTTTATTCTACGTGAAATTTTGAAACTCCACGAATATATAAAAAACGATTTTTTTCACCCAATGTTGAAAGCCAAATAAAAAATTTGGAGCGCAGAGGGTAAGAGACATTAAAATGTGTAGTTCTGTTATGCAATTTTTTGGTCTAAGATTTTTTTATATTTGATAATTATTTTAAATCTCGATTAATTTTGAGTTGAATCGAATCGAATTTGATAAGATGATAAATTTTTTTAAATTTAATATTTTTATTTATAAAACTCAAAATTAAAATTTTATTTTTAAAAAATTAAACTCTTTGTCACTTTGATAAACGAGTCTTTGTATTCTCCTATCCAATTAATGATTAGTCTTTGGCCTGTTGTCCAAAAATGCTTTTTAGCTTAGTTTTGTACTGTTGCAACTAATACATTTGGCATTAGACTTTTTATTGTTCCATTGGTTAGACTTCCCATCCTGAATCTAAAGAAGACTTTTCCTGAGGATGGTTTCCAAGGTGGCTTTGAAGTACTGATAACATGAATCTGTTAAATGATAATTCAACAGGATTTATTTTGGAAAAGGATTTGCATTTAATTTGTTAAGTGAAATTCATGACATTTTTTATTAAAATTGATTTAAATAAAAATTTAAAATCAAAATCCAAATATTACAAATTTTTATTACATATTAAGTTTAAAAACATATTTAATAAATTTTGATTTGTTTTTAGATAAATATTTTTAGTAAAAATTTTGAAATTCAAAATTTGTACCGTTGAATAAACATTGATAAAATTTAATTAAAAACAAAAGTTTCAAAAATATTTTTTTATATATTATTGATCTTTTCATTAAACTCTAAAAATTTATTAATTTAAAATTTTTATTAAATCATTTTTAATAAATAATTTCACAAGTCCAACAATTTTTTGGAATTTTCAATTATATGAACATTAATAAAAATGAATTAGAAGTTAGAACAACCTCTTAATAGAAGAAAAATATTTGTTGGCTTTTGCCAACAAGTTCATTGATCCAAATTTATAAATGCTAGAAAAAATGCTAGAGTGCTGCTGTGGGTAAAAGTTTTTTTTTATTATTTTATCATTTTTATTCATCGTGTATTTTTATAAAATTTATTTAATTAAATAAATTATAAAAAAAAGAAACAAAAGATGAAACAACAAACAAAATTGATTCATGAATATCTTAAGTGACTTATTTTTTCATAAAAGATCGAAAAAATGAGAAATGAAAAAAAAAAAAAAAACTCATAGAGGATGTCACATTAACATCCTATATTGAATTTAAAATATTAATTTATTAAATTAAAATAAATAAATAATTTTATTAAAATAACACATATAAATATGTAAAATTAAATAAATAATAAAATTTAAAATTTAAATATATCTCGAAATAAGTAAAAATAAAGTATGTTGAATATGCTTTCGATCTGAACTCTTTTTTTTTTTCTTTTAAATTGACCCATCTTAAAGTATATTATTTGAAAACAAAATAGCCAAATATTCATTCAACCCATTTTAAGGTAAAATATTATAAAATAGTATAAAAATATATAAATATTTTTATAAAAAGTAAATAAAAAAAAGGAATAAAATAATTTGATACATGACATATTGTTGGCATTAGTGAGAAAAAAATTAAAATCTTAAAAAATATTTATTAAATTTATAAAAATAAAAAATAATAGAAAAAATGAGACATACTTTTAATATCAAATAAATCCCATAAAAATAATTATAAACTTTAAAAAAAGAAAGAAAATAACAACAGATTTTGGTATAAAGTGACTCTCGCTTTAATAAATAAAATTTATAAAATTATTTATTAAATATAAAGATTTGTTGAAAAAGTAAAGAAAAAAGTAAAACAAATGCAAAAAAAAAAAAAGACATTTGGCTTAAATTTTAATAATCTATTATTCTTCTGTAAAAATTTTAATAATCTATTATTCTTCTGTATATGATCAAAATTTAAGTATAAAACTTATTTGTAGTATTTATTAAGATGAGCAACTCAATCAAAAGTTTTTTAACTCTTTATTGTTTTCTTTTCTTAACCTGTCTGAATTTATTCTTAAACCAAAATTTATTGCAATAGATTTAAAATCATAAATTGTAAATGAATTGAATATGAATGAATTAACATATTTTGTGATTTATTTATTTAATTTTAGAGAGTTTTGAATTATGTTTGTGTTCGATAAAAAAATTGGTCTATTCATTCGAGCTCAGTTCGTTTAAATAGTAAAATATTTGTATTTGATTCATATTCGATTCAATTAAGTTAAATAAGCTTATTTGTAAACATTAAATGAATATGTTCATAAACATATATAAATGAACACATTAATGTATAATAAGCAAATTTTAACCAAATAAATTTACACTATGTTTGAATAGATATTAATTAAGGGAATGAAATGA